AGGGACCAATCACACGCACCCTTTCTTCCTGCTTCTTCCTCGTCTACCTATCTACTGCCAATCAAAATAGTGACATCTCGATTCGATGCGCTATGGTCGCATCCCTGTAAACGCCATCATAGAGTATAGTGAGGGTCCCACGATTCTCTTGCTCAGCGGGCACGGCGGAACTGCTCGCGATTAGGGTGCCTTCATGTGTGCTTTGCTTAGGGTGGTGGCATCTCGCCATTTTGTCCCACACATTTATTTCAATTTTTGTTCAGAAGCGCGTGAAAAAGCGTGTCCCTGCATGCGTTTGTGGCGCTGACTGTGCTATGGCGACATTTTGTTTCCGTAGATTTCTTCGTATTTTACCCGTGAGTGCGTGTTGTCGGCATCGGGTACTACAAAGGGTGCCATCACCCTAAACAAAAGGACATTGAAACACCTATAGTCGCGATCATAGTTCGCGAAACGTCATTTCCGTATGCAAACAACACTCTTCACTGTCCCAACGTAGTGCCCCAGCCGGTATGGGATTGTGCCTTATTAGATAGTTTTAGTATGGCGTATACAGGGGGAAGCAAGCCCAAGCGCTGTGCGTTGTTTGCATTAGGGTTGCGTGTCCCAAGTCGCGCGTGCGCGTCATCGCCATGCGCCAATCCAAGACCGCTAGTTAGGGCTCCGCACACGCGCAGAGCGGAACATGCAAAGCTAACTCAAACACACAGCGCTTGCGTTCGCTCGTATACGCAATACTAAAACTCACTACTGTTTCACCGGCTTCCAACACCAACGAAACGCGCTGCAGTGAGCAGACGTGCAAGCAGGTAGGTGTTCCTTCGAACTGGAAAGGCTGATTGACAAAGCGATGGAGCGTAAAAATGAAAATAACTAAATGTCATGAAAAGATTGGTAATAATAAAAAAAAATTCCATTTCCTTTTTTTTTTTGGAATAAGGGGGGGGGGGGGGGGCATTTTCTTTGGAGGGATATTTGCGGCGACTTTGGAAGCTTTGCTTCTTGTCAAATGTCGCTACTTAGATACACCGTATGCTTTATTCAGAATTAATGTAATTTTACATTGATTTCTCACATCAGTTAGAATGTTTTCATTCATTTTAGACTATTTTTATTTTAAAACTTGGTAATAAGAAATGCTGCAGTTGGCATCAGTGATGATAATTAGCACACTTTTTGAAAGTCATACTTGTTCGCACGTTTGAAATTAGATCATAAACAACAAATTATATTAGAGGTTGAAAAAATACTATTAATAATATTAATAGGTTTTTTTTTTTTTTTCAACAAAAGGTACACTCTAAAAAAAGCCCGTGCGTCTGCTTTCCCGCACTACACTCGGAGAGCCAATCACCGCAACTTAAAGAGGCAGCTTAGCGAATGACAATGCCGAAACATATGTCTAAACCAAAAAACGCAGTCTGAGTTGTGATATTAAGCAATGCAAAACGTCACGCTTGCATTGCTTAATGTCACAACTCAGACTGCGTTTTTTTGTCTAAACATATGTTTTGGCATCGTCATTCGCTGAGCTGCCTCCGTAAGTTGCGGTGATTGGCTCTCCCAGTGTTGTGCGTGAAAGTAGACGCACAGACATTTTTTAGAGTGTACAGTGTTGGTGGGGGCTTTGGAAAAAAGCTGTTGATACAGCTTGACTAGTCCTAATTTTAATATGATTTTTTGTAATACACACCGCGGCAGTGTATGCCCAATTAACGCCACGATCACGAAAATACGCCATTTAACCATAATAGTCTTTTCAGAAAGGTATCATTTTGCTTTCTTTTTAGCATACGAAAAACTCTGACATCGTAATCAAGATAGAGAAACAGTCAAACACTGGATGCAATATAAAGTCATATGCTTAGCACTCATTGCTTTAAAAAAACACACACTTCAGCTGTCTCACTCAGATTCCGTCTTGGGGTTTTTGTAGTGAGAACAGCGTTTGTTAATATATACGTTTTGGAAACATATTGTAAAAATTGCATTTATTCTGTTATTCTTACCGGAAATAATGTTAAAACAGTTAATCATCTAAATACCCAAAAACCCATTAAAAGTATCGCAGTTCATTATTTCACGTGACAATTATCTGAGCGAGAAAAGGCAGCGAGAACGCACAAATATCAGCACGTATTTTTTAAACAAATACGGTATTCTATATTACCTCTAAGGCGTATGAAAAACCCTGTCTTTAAAGCGAAATTGAAAGCTCTAAAATATCTTGAAGTGCCTGGATTGAACACGTATGTCACAAAATAACGTTTCCGCGAACAACTTCTTTAACTGAATAATTGCGATGTGAGACACTTCTTGAGTCATGAAAGAATCTGAAATTAAAACCTTGAGAAACTAAATCCAAAATAGATGTTAGTTTCGGTTGCTCTAGAAAATTAAAACGTTCCTGGTGGCGTAAACACTACGCTAAGCACCGCTTTTGTTTTCAGGATAAAGAGGTGACCTGCGCTCATGACACCCAAGCTTCCTCGTGTTACAATAAATAATTTGTGTAGCTCGGGGAAGCCATCACACTAGACAAGCTCATCAGCGGCATGCATATCCGACCCTCACTATGCCCGCCATTTTGGAAAACGAGTGGCGCCACCTATAGTGAGTTGGAGTCGCGAATATCTATCAAATCGAAGTCGGAGTTGAAATTACCGGAAGCACATCTGCTCCGTTACCCGTATCATCAGACATTCATCAGGGGCCATTGCAGTTTTTAATATGCATCCATGACATTGCTTCACATATCCATCAGAAAAAAAAAAAAAAACCTAAAGCTATTTGCGGGTGACTGCCTTTATTCTCTGATAGACAACACAAGTGATCAGTTAAACCTCAAATGATATTTTGAATGTTTGAGGCAGTGGAACGAGGAGTGGCAGTGGCATACAGATTTGTGTGACTTGACATACATTCATATAACAAAAAAAAATGTTGTGCGGTTTTGTAATAGTATTGGAAATGCTAACCAATGTGGACAGTTGCGAATGCCTCAGTGATAGAATTTCACAGTCTACAACGGCGAACCTATATTGATAACGTCTGCTCCTCTGCTTATCGAAGCTAGGCTTCCTAAAACAAAAGTTAAAAACTGCGAATAGTGACGCCAAGCTGATCTTATCAAACCACGATAAGCCCCATTTTTAAGTACGCCAGTGTGCTCTGGAATCCTAACAAACAAACTGACAAAGAAAAATTTGAAAAAGGTTTGAAGGTCGGTTTGACGTTTTCTTCTGCCTAATTTCTGTGACTAAAATGATAAATCACTGTGGACATCAGTTATTGGGGACGAGAAGGTGAGTTGCCCAGTTAAAACTGTTTTAGTCTATTTGTAATAGACAATTAAAAATCGACCCGGAACTATATCTAAAAGAAGCGCATAAGCGATCGCGTAGACTAATCACGATCAAATAGGTGAATTGTACAACGGCAGAATAGGTAAGTATTTTCAAACATTAATTTTTTCTTGAAGCGACTTGAAGAGTGGGATGGGCTTCCAGAGCCTATTGTTAACTCCTTTAACGTGTGTCATTTTTAATTTTAATTTTAACATCTGTTTTCCCAATGAACAAAAAGCATGGCATTAGCAATTTCAGTATGTACTAGCGGTGCTAATTTTACAGCGAAGCTGTCTATGGCTAGGGTTTCGTAGATTTTTCGTGTGCGTGACCAAAAACTTTACGCTCGCACCGCCGCACGCGCACGCCTTCCCCATATAAAAGATTTGAAGGAAATAAGCAAAATAAAGCGTTGACAAATGCGCGTGCAAAATGCCATTTGTTTTTGTTTTTTTTGCTTTAGTACAGTTACTGCCGCAGACGCCGGCACGTGCGGCGGGTGGAACACCATTCCCTGCACTATCCTTGAGGCTTGGGTAATTTAGCGATTGGTCTAGTTCACTTATCTTCTCTCGTCGTAATGGGAAGGCCGCGTGTAGTCCCGACTCCCGAAGAGAAACGCGCCGACGAAGCACAAGGGCGAGAACGACACCGAGAATGTCAGCGGCGGCGGCGGGCGGCAAACACCACCGATGAAGATAGAGCTGAAAACACCTAGCGCATGCGGCAAACCAGACAAAACAACTAACGACTCGGGGCGGAGAACGCATCAAATAAATGTGTGTGCGTATCGTTTTGTTACGATGCCCACCGATCACGACAAGAAATGTGTTCGTACATTTGTTCAAGAATCTGTGTCACGTCTGTGTCATGCGCTAAACAGCTTCGCTGGTCATCCACCCTGACAAGGTGGAATGGCTTATGTTTCAAAAATGAGGTTTTTATATAGTTAAATTTGGGCTAAAATTTTATTAGGCTTGTCTTTTGTTGTGTTCATCTGCTTTTTAGAGGAGTAAACTGGGTGCAATTTTTTAAGTTATTTTGTTTACTGCAAGTTTCATACCATTGTAAACTATCCATCAACCTCTCCCGTAATGACCTTCAAATAAAAGTCGATAGTACTGATAAATAAACAATGTGCGAAGAAAAGATCGCGCTAGCTGTAGCACGATCACGCGAAGCGGGTGGAATAGTGCCGTCATGTACCCCAGGACGGAGGTGCGACGTTGTTAATTCTCATAGCCGTCGTGGCTGGCGTCGTGGATGCCACGGACGACCGCAACAAGTTCTCGATGATCCGTGAAGTAAGTGGACAATCGCAGTGGAAGGTTCTAAAGTAGGATTTCGTGTAACGCGAGTAATGTTTGTAAACAAATGTTTGAAGCAGACGACAGGAAGACTCTCCCTTTGTCGTGTCGTTACTGACGGGACGCCGGGCTCCCCACATTTCTCTCGTCGCGCTGCGCGGCCGACGGGAAAACCTGACTGCAGAAGCGCTTTTCCATAGCGGCGACGACAGCCCACGAGCTCGAAGTCTTTGGAAAGTGTCGCCCGTAAAGTTATCGCTTTAAAAATAAATAAATAAAATAAGGTCCGAGGAAACCCACAAATTGTGTCGATCTCAAGAAGGAACGCTCGAGCAAGTGCACTCACCCCGCGAGTGTGACGTTGAACGTTGACCATCGCGTTGTTTCCGGCCTTGGTGGCGAAAGTGCCACCGCGTTGGAGCTCCTCGAGCGCTATCCGCGAGGGCAGGATGTGATTGAGCAGCGCCCGCTGCAGGGAGTCCCGCTCCAGTCGCCATTTGTCCAGCAGCTGGGGAGAGATCAGGTCCAGGCTCTCGTCCGAAGGCAGGAACAGCGTGTAGGCCCCTGCGGGTCGAGGCACGGTGCACCGGTCAGCGCTGCCGAGGGTGAACCCGCCACGGCCGCGCGGTGACCGACTTTCTCTCGTAGTCTCACCTCTCTGTGTTTCGATTAGTGCGCGCCTTTGGTGCGGCTGTGGTTGAGCGGCTCTGCGCACCTAAATTTTTTGTTGCTTCGTGCCATGAGGCCTCGATAGCGCACAAAGTGACCGTGGTCCCGAATACGTTCGAGCTTATACACGTGCTGCCGTTTATTGGTGAACTAATAAAAATTTCTCGGCACCTGGCCGCCGAAAGTGCTACGAAGCTTTGAAATCAGGTCGTACGCAAGTTTCCATGCACTCGCCAGTATTATACACGTATAGGCACTCTTAAGAAAACAACGTTCCCAAAAGGTTACCAAAAGGGTGGGACAACCAACCTTTACACCCTCTGTCTGGTAAGGCAGCAAGTGCTTTGCTTATTTCCTCCTCAAGGGAGACAGATATATACTAGCGCCCCCTACACTTTTAAAAGGGAAAACACAAACACACAAAAAAGTTGACAAAAAACAAAACAAACATGAGCCAACTATCTCAAAACAAAGTATATATAAAAAAAAAAAAAGAAAACTGCTTTTCGACGTTGGGCCGGGTATGCTCGGTGTTCTAGCACAGTGAGCGTTTTTGAGTCGAAGTATTAGCGCGGTCTTACAACTTTTTTAAGTTATGATAATATTTGTCATCCCCGCGAATCATGGAATCCAGTTTATACACTCCACAAAATAAAACGCGTCTAGTTCCCGCAGAAGCGAACACTCCGAAAAATCTGGAGAGTATACTTTGACGCCCAGCGCTCGGGAGAGCCAAACGCTGCAATCTACTGACTCGGCGAATGACTACACAAGTTGGGAGCCAGAAAAAACAGTCTGTGCTCTTACACTAGCATGACCGTGTCCCCTCTGTGGATTGCAGCCTATAAGGAGTTTTCCTAGACCGTTTTCCCAGCTCCGCTACGCTTTCCGGAACGAAGTCTCCACTACCGCGCATGCGCGGCGCTAGCCTTGCCTGCAGAGTCCCGGATCTCGTAGCGGGTGGCGAAGAACCTTGCGGGACAGCGGAAACGATCCTCGAAAACCCCCTATTGCCAATCCCAAGTGTGTTGCGGTAAAGCAGACGTGTGGGGGCAGCGAGACGCGTTTGTGAAAACGAAATAAATCTTTATCACCACAAAAACAAATAATAATAAAAAAAAAAACTTTAACGCGTCGTGCAACAATATGTATTTGGAATATTTCACACTTTTGCTTTACCTTAGTGGCACAATATTTGTGGACAACTTTCTCGCTATGTAGTGAAAGGTATAGGGAGCATACACTTGGCGTCCATAGCTGTGTGAGCGACTGCTGAGCACGTGCTGACGCCGATCTGACACAGTTCTTTTGCGACGTGAATTCGGTGCCATCAAGATTGCCGGTCTCAGCGGCCTATTAATGTGAGCTCGTTCTGGGCATGCCCTTTGAAAAGCGACCTCAAATACGGCGTACAGTACATCGCCACCTGGTGGAATTTTTTCACAGCCCAGATTGAGGATTGGATACTTCAACGTCCTCTGCTTGTACAAGCACGTGCAATGTCAAGCATCTATGCACTATGAAAATTAAAACATAGCCTTGTGGGTAGCACACTGCACTACCCATAGTGAGGAAAACAGAAGCGCCCCTCACGAGCTTCTTACCGCGAATGCGCCGAAAAACTGAAGAAGAGAAGGAGACGAGAAGGGACGTGAGAACGAAGAGCTCTGATTGGAATGATTAGTGGGCAGACCTCAAGCCAGCTGCCTTTGTCTCCACTGCACTCGTCGAACACACTCGAATTCGAAAGCCAAACACCGGACGCCGGCGTTCGTTCTAACTCGTTCGACGAGTGCAGTGGACGCAGAAGCAGCTAACTTGAGTTCTATCTGCCCTAATCATTCGAACCAAAGCTCGGCGTTCTGACGTCCCCTCTCGTCCCCTCCTCTCCCTCACTTTCTCGGCGCGTAAGCAAAAAGGAGTCACTGGCAGCCAGAGCTGTGTGCATTGTTGTCAAACGCGTGCTTACAGAGTTTTCGTCAGATTCATTTTGCACCGTCAAAGATGCTGATCATGGCGAACGATAAGCATGCCTTATCCACGTCTCATGCTGATGATCGCATTAGAATACCTAATATACCACGGTGCGTGCATGAACGTCAATTAAAACTGTGCACGCGCACTCCTCCGGTCGTCGAAAATGCCGCAGAAAGTTATCTACCGATAAACACCATTTCAATATTTGCACTTTCTCAGCCAAGCGTGCGATCTCCTGAGCCCAGTACGCGCATGTTCCTCGCTTTGGAAAGCGAGCGAATCACTCGCCATACGCTGGAACACTGAAAATGGAACCGGCTAGGAGCCCTTTTTGGAAAATGTCTATAATACGACCAAGGTGGGACTCAAGTTTACTCGCACGCAACGGCACTGACCGAGAAGCTTCTTTGTAACGGTAAAATTCCGACGATAAAAGATAACGTTAATGTTGTGTTTTTTTTTTCAGTCTCTCCTTTGCAAAACTCGATAACGCAGTGATGATGTCGCATTCAATCAATCAATCAATCAATCATTTTATTTTTTCAAGTCAAACACAAATTCGACTTGAACGGTCCGCTGGCAAAAAAAGCAAACAGGCTGCCTGACGAGGTGCCAGCGGCCGGTAAGGATGGCAAAATCCAGCGGCATATACAAAAAAGCAAAAAAAAAAAAAAAGAATCCGCGCATGCAGAAACCCACAGTAACACAACATCGTGATAACACCCAGACATCATACAAGGCAAAAAAAAAATACATATGCGTACAAACAACACCAGGAAGCACAATAAATCACACCGCCCGCCATTAGACATTGTCAGGAAGCGATAGAGAAGAAACACGATATGGAAATAAGACAGCAAAAAAAAAATGGCCTATAAAGTATAGTATGTAAAAATGAGTATACGCATGAACTACATAGTACAAAGTACATAGTGTAAAAAATAAGTATAATGCTTGTGTATGGAAAGCATTACACGATTAAAAAGTACCATATATTTTACGGTCGTCAGTCAAAACGACAATATAAAACAGTGACAAATTAAAAATGGTCAGGAAAAAAACTCCTTGCCTATAGTTCACCTTTAAAACAATAAGAACATATGCAGGCAAAAGTAAAAACCATTAGTATATTTATATTTACATAATACGTATCTCATGTTCGACCAAGAAGGAGCGAAGCTGTTTTTTAAAAGCGCCTGTGGTGCCGGCAAGCAATACGTTGTTGCCTAGAGCGTTTAAGAGCTGGGGTACTTGGAAGTTGATCTTTTGGTTGCCGTAATTTGTTCTAGTTCGTGGTAGTTTATAAGCTGACTTTGCCCTTAGGTTATAGTCCGTTAGATTTGATGGAATTAAATCAAAGCTATTTATTCCTTTTGCATGAACTAGCTGTCCAAGTTTATAGTGGTATAGCCTATTGAGCGGTAAGATGTTAAGTTTTTCAAGTAATTCATTAGCATTGCTATCGTATTTTGCGCTGGCTACACTACGTATTATGCGTTGTTGTAGACGAATGAGCCCATTATAGTTTGTTTTGCAAGTGGTACCCCATACTAGAAAGCAATAATACAGTTTTTGATAAAACAAAGTATAATATAGTTGTACTTTTAGCCAGGTAGGCAAGATATCCCTTGTTTTATAAATGGCTCCTATAGCTTTAGATAACTCTTTCTTGATGTTCATGGTCTGTGTAGTCCAAGATAATTGGTCATTAAACCATACACCTAAAAACTTGCAGTCAGATATTTGTTCTATAGTGCAGTCATTTATTTTCAAACGTGGTTGTCTGGCAATTTTTTTTTTATTTTTTGCCCTGAGTAGCATATATTTTGTCTTCTTAGAGTTTAGTTGCATTTCATTTGCCTCCAGCCAGCTGTTTAAAGTTCGTAAATAATTATTTGCATCGCGTTCAATGACGTCAATAGTAGGGCCAGAAAAAAAGAGACTGGTATCATCGGCGTACATAATTAAACTTGGAGAGTTTGCGATGTTGACTATGTCGTTAAGGTAGATAATAAAAAGACTGCCCTACACTCTTTTTAGAGTGTAGGGCAGTCTTTAAGCGGCCAAAAGCCGCTTAAAGATTGGACAAGAGCAATGCGTGAGTGCTCAACTGGGCTCGTGACAATACCTTCGGGGGTATTCGAGTAGTGGTTCGAGTCTAACACCTGCATGATCGAGAACTTCGGTAAACGCCCTGGCGCGAGCCCAAAGCACCCTCGCTTTTACGCTGAGCCTCATTAGGGAGTTTTAGTAGATCGTTTTCAAAGGCACGCTACCGCTGCGGGCGCGTGCTTCAGAGCATGCATTTAAGTGGCAGCGCGAGCTCCCGCTACAAATAGTGTGGCCTGAAAACACGATCTACTAAAGCTCTCTAGTGAGCAGGGCTATACTTGCGTGATGTCTTGGGTTAGTAAAGCTACTGCAGTCCGCGTTGAGCCTATCATGGTGTTCTATGTCACTTCATACGTAACAGCGACACGCAGGAACCATTATTAAGGCGAAAGCCTTTTATGTCTCATCGTTCAGTCGACCTATCAGACAACACGTCTGCGACAAGAAAAGTTCCAACGAAACGGCGCCAAAAGTGCGTCGTCAGAGAGTTCGCTGTCTTCGGAGGTTCGCTATCACGCTAACATCGGCGCTTGGGCTTTCGCCTTCAAGTCGTCTTATGGATAACATAAGGTACCCTGTGTTTTCCCTCCTAATGCGATAGCGCCACTCGCAATGCCATCGGCAAGAGACGGTGTCAAGAACAAATAAGGCCCATGCACACAGTTCCGTTTCAGTCCGTTCGAGTGCGTTGGACTGCGTTGCGTTGACATACGGCCGTGAATCACTGGGTCATCCGTGCTTCGTGTGAAGCGTGGAAACCAATTCAAGGAGTAGCTTGGCAAGGGGCATACGAAGCACGAATGTCC